TGGCCGAGAGATGTCAGGGGGCTTTTGTTCCGAGGGGGAGCGCGCGCGCGCCGGGCCGTCGGGAGAGCGCAGCCTTCCCGCGTGAGGCCCCGGGTGGGTACTGGGAGGTGGGCAGTGAAGAACACTGGGCCGTTCGTTGCAGCTGGCGGGGCCCAGGGCAGTGGGGGCAGGTGCTGCTGAACTGCTGGAGTGGGCTCGGGGCGGGGGTAAGGTGGCCGCACGCCGCGGCCCTCCTTCAGGATTGCTACCTTTTGCCTACGTTCTAACGCTTGCTCGGAACCCCGGGGAGGCATGGGGGGGGCAGGGGAGAGAGCAATCAGCCACTTTTGAAGAAACCAGGGGAATCGGCCCTCCCCTGCAGCCTCTCCCTCTTTGGGACTGGCCTGAAAGGGTGGTCTGAGTGAAGTGGAGGGACAGGCCTGAGCCTAGCATGAGTCCTTGGAGGGGGACCTGGGAGTACACCCAGCTAGCTGACTCCTTTGCTCCTGACCTCAGGTGCCCAGAGGGACTCTGTAGACTTGGACCAGTCTCTGGATTCAAGAGTTGAAAAGGTTTGTGGCTTGCTTTCTTCAGCTTCTCTAGGAACTGCTGGTCCGGCCTTTGACCTTTTGTGAGCCAGGGGAGGCACCAGCCAGAGACTTCCTATTACCTCCAGATTGCCTGTGGCCTTTAGCTGGGCCTCTAGGGAGTAACTTGTCAGGTGAGGCCTGGGTGCTGGTTGCCGCCAGGGGCTGCCTGGCAGATCCCTCCCAGAGGTACAGGAGGAGGAGCCATGCACCAGGGTGCCTTTTGGATAGAGGAGTAGACCTTGTAGAAGGGGATGCAGATTGGGGGATTCCTAAGGCACAGAGTAGGTAGGCTCTCGGGCTCAGTGGTGGCGAATTCTGCCGTTGAGCATGGGCACAGGTAGCCTTGAGAAATGGCGCGGCCATTTCTTTTATGCATCTGGGCCTTTGGTAGAGTGGAGCTCCTTGGGGAGGACCCCTTGAGATGGGAGCATATGTGGGCATTGGGCCCTGAAAATTGCCAGTAGGAGTTGGCACTGCGGGAAGGAGGCTTCAGGGGAGTCAAGGACCCATGAGCTGAGAGGGCAGTGCAGTTTGGGAGCTCTCTGGGACCAAAGGTCACTTGTTATCTTGAGGCCAGCAGCAAGTGGGGAAGAGGTGGCTTGAAAGATGCTGGCACCAGGGTGGGAGGGGTGAGCAGAGGCACTGTTACAGCTCAGGCCCCCTGGCCTTCGTCCTATCACTTGGTCTAGTCCCATAGTGAAGGTTTTTTTCAGACCAGACCCCAGAGCTTAGCAACCTGACCCTGGAGTGCTGGTCCCTCCATCTGAGCAGGTGGTTTGCATTAGCTTCAGGCTGGGAGAGCTGCGCAGCTAGGTTTTAACTCTTTATGACTCGGAGAGGGCTCAGGCCAAGTGGCTGTGTTTCCCGAGTGGTTTTCCCTGTCCAGTCTTCTGTGGGTTACTATAATAGTGGGAATTGGGCCTGATGTTGGGGTTGGGGGCGGGGTGGGGATTGGTTTTACATTATGTTAGTTCTGGAATGATAAGGGAGGATGGATTGCCTTTCTTTATAAGGCAGCTTGTTCCGAGTCTTGGGTCCATCTTTAGCCTGGTGGGAAATGGAGGGTACCTTTCTGGGCCCATGAAGCTTCTGTTAGGGATTCTAAGGGCATTCCTCTTTCCTGAAAGTGTCCGGAGGGCCTGCCCTCCCACATTACATCCCAGTGTTTTGGGTGTTGACTGTGGGCCGGGGTCGGCATCTTCATCACATGGGTGAGTCGGGATGGATCTCTGCAGTGGTTTCAGGCTTACAATCATGGAATTCTTTTTCCATCACCATCATGCAGTCCTCTGGGTGGGGCCTGCCTCAGATTTCAGGGGAGGGTGGGGAGGATGGTGCTCTTGCAGGGAGCTTTCAGGTTCCAAGCCAAGGACTGCTTAAAGCTATAGTTTCAGTGCCGAGGACTAGCTGTGGCCTGGCTTCAACTGTTCATTACCCAGAGATGAGTGGCTGGCCAGGCTGATCTAAAGCCTTTCACCGAGTGTCCTGTCCCAGAGTAAGTGCTCCTCATGGGTTTTGAGCTGACAGAGGCCTTCGGTTCGAGTCTGGAGTTGATGGATGCCTCTGTTTCAAAACATTCTGGCCTGACCCCGGCTCTTTCTGAGCAGGGGTGGAACCAGTTTCAATTAGGCTCTCTTGGGAAAGAGGTTGTATGTTTTGTCCCCAAGACGAAGGGAAGAGGTTGGTTAGACCTCAGGTCATTTTTAGCAACGCAGCTGTGGACTCTCAGAAGGGGCAGGTTGTAAATGAAATGACTGCCTGGCGTTTTGAACCTCATCAAGAAGAGGCAGGTCTATAGGCCTGCCTGTAGAAGTCATATGGGACTTGTTTCCCATGTTACTAAATAGCTCACTGACCTTACTTTTTTAATTTTAAAAAGAAGCCCCCATTGAATTGGGCATTTGGCTGTTGCCCCCTCACCGAACTGAGCACTCACCCCCTGACCCTCCAGCTTTTAGGCTGACCAGCTGCCAGAAAAGCCTTCGTGCGGTTCAGGAGTCGGAGTAGCCTTTGCCTTCATCCTTGCCTGGTCCCACGGGTGAACTATGCTTGGTAAAATTCATCATCCAAGACCAAGGAACACATAAGCCCCTCTGCTTTTGTGCCCGTCTGGTCCCGTAACTGCTTCACGCCATCTTGCCAAAGCTCAGGTGAACTGGCTCATGTCCAAGATTGTGGGGTTGGTGTGACTGATGGAATCTTGCTGTGTTTTGCAGGGTCAGAAGGTACTTAATGTAATTAGCACTTCATTATATTTGGCATTTAGTCTGTCCTTGAGTGCATTGTTCATGTTTAATTTTACTCCTTACCTAGCTGTAAATCCCTCAGAGACAGGGACCATGTGGTTGGTTTTCTTGTATGACCCATGTAGCTTCCAGCACCAGATGAAAATGTGTAGAGACTCAGGACATACCATTCTGATTGGTTGATGATAATGAGAGTACATCTGGCTAGGAGCTACTAAGAGATGATGGGGAAGTGTAAGGTCAGATGTTGTATCTTCTTTTCCAGCTAGGTAGTGAGCATCCTGTGGGTAAGAACTATATCTTTCTTATCCCTAAAACCTTGCATTTAGTAGGTGTTTAGCAAACGTTAGTTCCACAGAACCCATACCTTAGAGATGCTAACATGCAGGGGGTATTTATAGGTGATATAGCTACACTAGTCTTGTTCTTCTTGCTTAAATTAATGACAGACTGAACTCGTATGTCTGCAGGTTGGGGTGAGACGAAGTATTCCCATATGGATTTGTGGCAAGTATGGGGGCTGCTAGAAGGTGCTGGGGAATACTAAGTTACCAGTTTTGTGGTCTCGTGGGTAGGTTGGCAGGCAGATGGCAGATTCCCAATGGGAAGAGGAATTGGAGGTAAGAATACTAGGACTAGTACCTAGTCTTTCATTAACGTACCTCACTGGATCTCCTCTGGAACTGAGCTTGGACTCATATAGAGGCTGTGGTTGGATGTTCAAACCAATCTCCTGTTTAAACTCTGCGTCTGTGGTACTTCTGTCGGGGTGGGTATAAAAATCCAGAATTTTCTTCTTCAAGGGCTTTTGCCTATCTTTAGTTTGGTGGAATTTGAGTACCTGTAGAAAATCTACTTAAGATCTGTGGCCATATGTTGAACACCTACCACGTATTGGGGCTGTGCTGCTTGCTTTGTCATTAAACGTCACAGTCATCAGAGAGATGTTTGCAGATCTCATTTTATGGAAGAAGAAACAGATTATAAGTATAAGACTTGTCTAGGGTCATACAACCATGGTCACTTGGAATTGGCACTCAAATCTATATCTGTCTGAAAAATTATGTTTGTTCTGTATTTGTGGGCACCACGTCCCCACAGAGCAAGGTTGAAGCTATGGAATGGAAAAGAAATTGAGAGTGGAGTTTGGGGCATTACTGTCAGCTCTGATATGATACATTTTATAGTTGCCCGGTGCCTTGGTGATAAGGAAAGAGTGATTTCTTTAAGTGTTAAGAGCTGTAAATGGAACTGTTTCTTCTCTCTTCCATCATGGTCATCTGATATTATTAATTGCTCTTCTGCCTCTCTTGGATTCCAGGTGCGTTGGGGTGACTATCTGGCATCACCAAGATGACGCTCCATGCCACCCGGGCGGCTGCACTTCTTTCATGGGTGAGTGGTCTTCCTCTCCTAAACTTTTCCAGGAAGAGTGGGAGGGGTGGAAGAAGCTCTCTAGGAGCCAGGGTTATGTAAAAATCTTCTCTTCTAGGAAAGTCAAGGGAAATAGAGGAAAGAGCT